GCGAGGTCCTGGGGACAGTTAGCTGTGGCAGTGAGCTCTTCGCTTTCATATTGTGGAGTTCTCTTGTCAGTGAAACAGCTTTTGCTTTTTCTTTGCTTTTTTTTTTTTTTTTCCCGAGGCTGAGTTTCGCTTTGGTCACCTAGGCTGGAGTACAGAGGCGCGATCTCGGCTCACTGCAACCTCCACCTCCTGGATTCAAGCTATTCTTCTGCCTCAGCCTCCTGAGTAGCTGGGATTACAGGCGCCCACCACCACGTCTGGCTAATTTTTTTTTTTTTTTTTTTTTTTTTTTTTAGTAGAGACAGGGTTTCACCATGATGGTCAGGTTGGTCTCGAACTCCTGACCTCAAGTGATCCACCCGCCTTGGCCTCCTAAAGAGCTGGGATTACAGGTGGGAGCCACCTTGCCTGGCCTCCCTTAGTATTTGATGATATAGAAAATAATTTCGGTTAAAATGGAATGCCTTGTGTAATTCAAGGTGAACATCGAAAGTACATCAGAATTTGCCCTAAAAGAGTCAGACATGTGTGAGTCTCAAATTCTGCCTACTCTCCTCCCCTTACAGAGGGTTGGGTTGTATTTGCAGCCCTTATTTGAGCACTAAAAAGGTTATCACGCCCGTGTGCTCACTTCAGCAGCACATATACCAAAAGGTTATTGTGCTTGTTATATGTTGGACAGTGTTCTTTCAGATCACAAATCTTGTTTTTATCACTGTTAAATTGGGGGTGTTTTTCAGGTAGAAGCAAAAATATTTGCTGAAATGTGATTGATATGTGGAACCTACCTTCAGGCTGACTTGCTGAAGTTATGACTGCCTATAATCCATTAGGTGTGAGAGGAAAAAACTAACATACCAAATGCTTTTGCTTTGTGTATGCTATGTGGTCCCATCCGGCTGGGGCTGCAAGTAAATGCTGCCTTTTAACTTTTCTTTCCGAATTACTATTATTTCTCTGATCCTAAAAGAGTAGTGGTTGAAAAAATGACATGAAGGTTTATTAACTTAGTTCTTACACTGTTGAGCTTATCTGCATAGAAAACATGCTGAAGGCATAATCTTACTCCCTTGTAACTTACAATCTAATTGTAGAGTTGATGTAAGAGTTGTGTTTCATGCCATTTCTACATTGTGTGTGTTCTTGCCTGTTTATCATTGTCACTTATTTATTAAAATCTGCTATCGTTGCAAGTTTTAGATGAGTTCTCTAAAGGTGGGATAACATGGGAGAATCTACAAAATTAGAATAAGATTGAGGAACCCAGGGTTCTTGTTCCTCTCTGATCCCTGTGGCTGCTGGTGCATTTTAAGCCAGCAAGCAGACTTTACTCTCCTCTCTTCCTTGAAGGGACATTAATGACCTTCCCATAACAGCCCAGCTAATTTCTGTGAGTAGGTTATTTTGGAATTGAGTATTGAATGTTTTTATCTGTTAGTGTGACTTTTTTTTTTTTTTTAATAGGATGTATCAGGACAAACTGGCTTCTCTCAAGAGGCAGTTGCAACAACTACAAGAAGGTTGGTGTGATTGAAACCTGCATTTCTAAATATGCTTCTTAATATTACAAACCCTTGTAATCTGTGTATTTCACTTCTCTGTGGGAGTTATCTAAAATGTGGTCTGGCCGGGCGCGGTGGCTCAAGCCTGTAATCCCAGCACTTTGGGAGGCCGAGACGGGCGGATCACAAGGTCAGCAGATCAAGACCATCCTGGCTAACCCGGTGAAACCTCGTCTCTACTAAAAAATACAAAAAACTAGCCAGGCGAGGTGGCGGGCGCCTGTAATCCCAG